GGGGGGCGGCCCGGGCCGCCGCGCCACCAGCTGGCACCACCACCTGGTGCCCCGGAGCCTGGTGCTCTTCTCGGTCGGGGTGGTCCTGGCCCTGGTGCTGAACCTGCTGCAGGTGCAGCGGAACGTCACCCTGTTCCCCGAGGAGGTCATCGCCACCGTCTTCTCCTCGGCCTGGTGGGTGCCCCCCTGCTGCGGGACGGCCGCTGGTGAGTCGTGGCGCGGAGTGACCGGCCCCCGGGCTCCGTCGGCGGCTCTATTTGGGGGGGCGGGGAGGCCCACGTGCTCGCTGGCCCCGACCCGGGGATGCGAGGCCGGGCGGTCGCCGGCTCTTTGGCACTGGTGCCAGCCCCGACCCTCCCTCCGGGGCCTGGTGACAGGATGGGCGGAGGCTGGCCGGTGGCTGTCATCCCCAGCGCGTCTTCCCCGATTGGCCGCCGCGAACGGGTGAGCAGCGGGACCCGCGCGCCATTGGCTGCCGCGGCCAACACGCTAGCGCGCCGCAACCGAAAACAAACCGTCACGTGGGGGAGGCGGGGCCTGCAGCCGGCCAGCTCCTCCTGCGCCTGCCCGGCGGGGCCCTGTCCAGCTCCCCTGCTGCCCCGCCCGGCGGGGCCCTGCCCAGCGCCCCTGCTGCCCCGGGAGCCAGGCCCACGGGAGGAGCCGCCACCTCCGAGGTGCCGGCTGCCTCCTGCAGGCACATGTCCAGTGTCCCCAGGGGACTGATGGGCCCGACCTGAGTGGCCGGCCCCCATGGGCATGCCTGGCCGGGCCACTGCTGTGCGCGGGCGGAGCCCCCGTGGCACGGGAGCTTCTGGAACCATGTCCTGGGCACAGCCAGCAGCCGGCCTCGGCCCAGCCTCGGCCCGCCTGCCCGCTCCGTCCCAGCTGGAGGGGGCCGCGGGCAGCTTCCCCTGCGCGGGCCGCGGTCGCTTCTCCGAGGGGAAGGCTTGAGCCTAAGAGTGAAGCTTGCAGTTCAGCCCGATTTGTAACTGCAGCTTCAAGGCAGGCCAGGGACACCCGCAGCCCCGGGCCTCTGGGGAGAGGAAGCCCCAGGGCAAGATACCGACCACTTTGGGGTTCACTTCTGAAACCCCCAGGCTGGGCTCGGCGAGCTGTCGCGGGACTGAACCGAAGGGCAGTGAGTGTGCCCGCTCCTCTGTCCCCAGCACACCCCGCGCCCTGGCCTGGGGCCCGGAGCCGGTGGGCCTGGCCCTGGAGTCCAGGGCCTGCGGCCTGTCGTGTCCACTGCCTCGGCTTCGGCTTGGAACTTGCCCTCGGTCCCGGGCCCCACCGCATGACCCTCCGGGTCTCGGGGGGGCGGCCGGGCCTGCCCCACACACCCCGTCAGGGCTCAGCCGAGGCGGGAGGGTGGCTGTGGGCGGCGCCAGTGTCCAGTGTGGAGGCGCGGGTGTCCAGTGCGGCGTTGTGCCCCCAGTCCAGGCCAGTGCTGCTGACCACGCCCCACCCGCAGTCCGCGCAGGGCTTTGGGGGAGCGCCCTCCCTGCCGGGTGGCAGGAGCCTTGGGGCCGGCCACGGTGTGCGCTGCGGGAGGAGGGTGGACTCGGGGTCGGCCGGGCTGGCCAGGCTCACTGCCCTTCCCTTGCAGCGGTGGTCGGCCTGCTGTACCCCTGCATTGACAGCCGCCTGGGCGAGCCCCACAAGTTCAAGCGGGAGTGGGCCAGCGTGATGCGCTGCGTGGCTGTCTTCGTGGGCATCAACCACGCCAGTGCCGTATCCTTGGGGTGCGGGCCCTGGGCGCCTGTCTCTGCGCGGGCGGGCAGCGGGCGGCG